TGTATTAATTTGTATAGGGTAGGTGATATTGTGAAACGGAGAGAGTTTGGGAAACACACACAGACACACAGACACGTATATTTTTTTCTTATTGAAATTGGGGTAGATTTGAACAGCGAAATTAGATCAGAACAATTTTGTTTACTGATGGAAATCTGATCTAGCCCATTTGGAATTGGGTCGTTATAAGACAATGGAAAATGATCGAAATAAATTTTATCGGTTAAAATTTGAAATAGAACTTTGAAATTCACATGATTTTGTGTTGAAAACGGCACTTGTGATAATCGCGTGCAGGCCAAAGGGTCGATTTATGATCAACCAAATATATCTATATAAACGCGTAGTTATGCTGAAGAAGAGGCAGACGGTCGAGCGACACGGAAGAGGCCAGACGGGTGAGGCCGCGATCGGTCTGCACGTCTTCGTCGTTGCGTTCCGTGCACGTGCATGGGCACCGCAAGAGGCCGTTACGGGTCGCGGTGCTACAATAATCAAAGAGTGGTTGGCTCGTCTGGCGTCGAAAACAGTCGAGCTGGGTGGAGAAAGTGACGTCAGAGATTGGAACCAAACGCCCGCTAACATGTACTGTTAATATAAGTACCGGTGCTTCTGCTACCACGAAGATTACTACTACTGTTACTACTGCCGAGGAGGAATGCAACTATAAACTTTAAGCCGCGCACAGAAATCTTTATCACTCCATCACAAGAGTCGCATATCGTTCTGAGATCTGAGACGAGAGTGTTTGAGTTTTTCTTTTTCTTTTTACGTCAAATATTTTTCTTTTTTGTAACCGGTGTTTTTTCTACACTAATCTTTTCTGCTATTTAAAAGACATTAACAATTCAACCATTGAATACTTGTTTGTTTCTGCTTTATATATATATATATATATATATATATATATATATATATATATATATATAAAGGAAATATGTTGTGTGGTGTGTGTGAGTGTGTGTCTATATTAAAAAGTGTGTGTGTGTGTGTGTTTTGTGTGTGTGGATTTATTGAGAAAATATTATACTTTGTTTTACATAATTTCAGACACGTGTTTCTGGTCTGGTCTCAGTTGTCTTGAATGAAAGTGGAGATTTTTACATATTATTAAAAAATAATCAATTTTTCTTCATGTTCAATGTGAATATTCTCGATATGAGACATTCTGTTTAGGATTAAACCATTGGACTGATCGAATGACCTACGGATGCTCAGAAGACCAACGGTCTCTCCCTTACGTTCGTTTAAGACCGAGTAGAAACCTCAACCCAGAGAGTAAGACATCGGAGGTTGAAGGGCTGGGGCAAAAGTGTTAGAAGTGTAATTAAGAAAAATCTATATTTAATAATCATAAATGGAAAAAATTACTGCAATTTAGCAACCACCAATATTTTAAAAATAATTTTGATTGGTGTGTGTGTGTGCGTGTGTGCAGACGTTCCGATTTTATTTAAATATGTACGTTTGTACATGGCATTTTGCAGAAAATAAGAGCTATAACTACAGTAAATGTAAAGCCAAATATATAAATTAAATAATATACTGGATTACGTAGATTACTTTCTTAAATTTTAAAGATATCGGGGTAGTTGAAAATTATATAAAAAGCGATCATACGATATTCCTCAAATAACGTTCACAGATATATGTCTATAATATATATATATATATATATATGTATATATATATATATATATATATATATATATATATATATATATATATATATATATATATATATATATATATATATATATATATATATATATATATATATATATATATATATATATATATATATATATGTGTGTGTGTGTGTGTGTGTGTGAGTTTCATAGAATAAATACCTTACGCCTTCTATGACTAACGTTTTCTGTGGACATGAAGAATTTATAGAATCAATTGCTAAGTATGCAGCTAAGAAAGTTGTTTCGATATGCCGTGCTAAATAATCATGCTTGATAGAAGATTAAAAAATATTAGAAGGTAAAGCAACAATAAAATATCCTTAGAAATTCCCGTACTGCAGTCTTAAATATTCTAGCTTAACAACAAAATATTATCATAACTAAAATTAATATGTATAAAGGTCATTATTTGAAGAAGTCTGAACTACAAATAAAAGTATTTTAAAGTATCAAGTTTTTACATTTCACTGAATCAGATGTTAAACACATGTTTTCACTTCCACTTTCTTTCATTCATTCTTTGTTTTTCTCAGTTCATGCAAACCATAGCTCTGATAGGTCATTTCCGTCTTTCCTCGTGATCAAAGCCGAATAGACAGTCATTTATGAGCGTAAGGTGCCTGCGAAATAACTAACTAAAGTAGGAATAAGCAACCATAATTATAATATGATAGTTTTTTTTTTCTGCGGTATATACAAGAGAGAAACCTAATAGGTTTTGAAACTGCTTTGTATATACGCTCTTTTAGCGCTAGAGGGATGTGGTCAGTGATGTTCTGGAGATGGATCATTGGGCAGTTTCGGGTCTTTCAAACATCATACTGACCTCACCAAATCGACCCCCCCCTCAGAGCTGATCAGACTCTGAAACACCCTCTAAAAATGCTTGTAGACACTGACTTCTATAAATATACCTCGTTACACACATTTGATTGGAGATTGACCAACAGCCAATCGCAACGGTGCGAAATCTATTTAAGCCGTTTACGGGTGATTTTTCTTCAAAGGTAGCTGCTGCTGTTACATTTGGTTTTGTTGATTTTATTAATGAAAATTAAACAAACTGTTACGTGCAAAATATAAAATTTCACTGTCAACAGAACACAAACAAGAAACACTAGATGAGACTTAGGGATATTCTGAATGGAAGGAATTATACGAAACTGCACTAATTATGCTGCACTGTATGATTCACTCAAGGATAAGCCAGATGGTCTAAAGCAAATTTAATGACAATACGAAATCTTTGTTTTGATATGTAATGGCCTCACTTAAGATGATACCCAAACAGACTTTGCACCCCCTAGCATTATAGAAGTGAGGTGCATCTGCAACAAATGTTTCGCGTTTGAGAAGATGTCAGTTAGTTTCTTCGACATGTAAAAATGTGGACACATATGGAATGAGAGGAAGTTATACAAGAAGCCTCCCGAGAGGGAAAAATAGAGGCACAAATCCCTGAAAAAAAAAAAAACATTTAAACCTCAAACCATAAATACAGACGTGCGTATATTAACTGATCTAATGTCATGATCAAAACAACAATGACAACCATTTCACTTTGAAATCGCATCGAATTATGGTAGTACAGGAAAGCATGACAAAATGGAGAGCTGTGAAGAAGACAAAATGCATAGTTTTCGACATTAGAGACATTTCAAAACTCGAAGGACAAATTGGAAGTGTTAAAATCAAACAAGCGCAGACATTAATCTATGTGGTAAGTGTTTAAAAAGTGGACCTGTGGCTCTGAAATCCGAAGGCACATTGCAATAGTTGGATACACGTTTCGAATACTAAACATTGTAATAAGAAATAGGCTATTTCCACGCGCGGATAAAGTCTACACATGTTTTTAGAAAACAACGAAAAGACAGCTGATAGATTCGGTATTGATCATCGAGCCCTTGCCGCAACCGAATATGACACAATATCAGTTGGAAGTGGGTGACAGCCGTGAATGAATTGCTCAAGCCCTCTTGACACTTCCTCATTTTGGGGACAAATCAGAAACCGGTTAATGTCTCCAGCCCTTTCCCGAAGCAGAGATACTGCCTGACTCCTGAGGATGTAGCTTTATATTATTTTGAAATTTTCCCGACCAAATAAGGGAAGTATAAAGACTGAACACCTGGTATACAATACGAATTCTCCTATATGGCAATGAAAGCAGGGCAATTTCCTTCCAGATGAAGAGAATTGAGCCAATAGTGATAGGGTTCTACGGTTGGATGCTGAGAATAAAAAGGATGGAAAATGTGAGCAACCTGGAAGGAGAATGCTAACAAAAATTTTAGTTATACTTTAAACAGGAAATAGATAGTTGAAATTACTTGGTACATAATGACGAAAAAAGTCTTGGAGAACTTGATACACATTGGGCATAATACAGCCAAGAGAAATAGAGGTAAACATTTGCCCTTCCTAGCAAGATTTGCCCTTCCTAGCAAGATTACGTAAATGATTTGGGAAGCATATTAAAGAACAAACATTATTATGAATTTAAAAAAACGATAGTAAGTTTTCGATAGCCAGTAGTCATTTCATGATAGAAACATAATTATTAGTGTTGCTTACAGATATTTTATTCCTTGGTCAACTAGTTCATGGCGGGTATATGGGAAAGTGTACTTAGAATATCTTAAAGAATATGTAAATCTAAAGGCTCTCTTCTCTTTTACAGAGAAATGAACGTTTAGATCTATATATTCGTCAAGCGGTTTAAAATGAATAGCTTATACATCAGTAACTGATGTATAAGCTATTCACTTTCAACCACTTGTCGGTGATTGTAATTTATATTCAATAACATTCAAGAAAGTCTATTGAACCAAAACTGTCCTTCTGCAGCGATAAATACGCTATATAAGTCAGAACCATATCGGTGTTTATTACGTGGGTTGAGAATTACTATTTCTACAGTGAAGCGAATTATTATTTTTTTTTACTTTCTTTTTTCTCTGTTTAGCATATTACCTGCTATGAACAGAGAACAATATTTCGTGACTGTCACAGTTTGTTCACTTTTCTCAAGTCACTGGGATACACGTCGTGTCGAACAAAAAATGGATGCGCGGGTGTTACTTGTCTGAAGGTCGTAAATGTCTTAATAACATTTTTCTTTTTATAGTTACGATAAATATTTAGGATGTCGGTAAATACTTGAACATCCAATAATCGATGAATAGATAGCAAAACGAGTATATTTACAACTTTAAAGCACGAGACTAAAAATTGCCACATTAAGGTTAATGACTGATAAGAGCAGATGGATATTGGAGAAAAAAAAGACAGATTAATATGCATGCATTATATGATAGATAGAGAGATAGAAAGATAGAGGGAGAGAGGGAAGAGTGGAATAGACTGACAGAAAGAGAGACAGAAATATGGATGCAAACAGATAGATAGATAGATAGATAGATAGATAGATAGATAGATAGATAGATAGATAGGAATAATGGGAAAAACATGGACAGAGAGGAAATATTCAGATAAACAGCTATCGACAGACTGAGATAGATAGATAGATACACACACACACACACACACACACACACACAGAGGGGGCAGATAAACAGAGATACAGACGAACATATAGATAGATAGATAATATTAATGGGAAAGACAGATGGACACAGAGGAAAGATAGGGATAGACAACTGTCGACAGATTGCAATAGATAGATAGATAGATAGATAGATAGATAGATAGATAGATAGATAGATAGAAAAATTGTAATAATGGGAAAAACATGGACAGAGAGGAAATATTCAGATAAACAGCTATCGACAGACTGAGATAGATAGATAGATACACACACACACACACACACACACACACACACACACACACAGAGAGAGAGAGGGGGGGCAGATAAACAGAGATACAGACGAACATATAGATAGATAGATAATATTAATGGGAAAGACAGATGGACACAGAGGAAAGATAGGGATAGACAACTGTCGACAGATTGCAATAGATAGATAGATAGATAGATAGATAGATAGATAGATAGATAGATAGATAGATAGATAAATTAGAAATTAGGGTCTTAATATGTATTAAACCATCTGACCTCATGTGTTATATAGTTTTCTTCTTTTCTATTTGTTACCATGTCGAAAAAGGCAAAATTTGAAGTAGTCGGCATTGAATGTTTATATTTTAATGGCCGTCGGATGGTTTTATTCCTTTGCTTAGACATGGTAACTTCCTACTACTTAGGATATGCAAGATGAAAAACAATCTCAAGCAGAATAATACCTTCTTGACCTTAACCATTTTTATTATTATTATTATTGTTATTATTATTGTCGTTGTTGTTGCGATTGTTGTCATTGTCGTCGTCATTTTTGTTGTTGTTGTTGTTGGAAGGTCATCTTGGTACTATTTTCTACGAAAACGCGGTTGAAACGAGATAGTGGGAATCCGAAACAGGATGTGCACATGTAATGGAGTTTTTAAAACGTCGAGAGTGCAGGAAAGGACATTTGTTATGTTTGCTGTATTTTCTTTTTTTCGCTAACAGGGATATACGGTTACTCAATACAAACGACTTGTGCTCCGGGAAATTATGCTGTCTTGTTTAAACCAGGCATAACTAAACAAAAAAAAAAAAAAAATAGAAAGAAAAAGAAAGCAATAAATGAGTTTACAGTAGCTATTTGCATTTTTCTTCTTATATTTTCTGGTGGTACTCAGAATTCAGTTACAAAATTCTCCATAAAATATACACAGTCACACACATATGTAACCGTATATATTTGGGTACTATCTATCTATCTATCTATCTATCTATCTATCTATCTATCTATCTATCTATCTATCCCAGTCTGTTAATATCTATCTATCTATCTATTTATCTATCTATCTATCTATCTATCTATCTATCTATCTATCTATCTATCTATGTAACCAAGTCTGTTAATATCTATCTATCTATCTATCTATCTATCTATCTATCTATCTATCTATCTATCTATGTAACCAAGTCTGCTAATATCTATCTATCTATCTATCTATCTATATATCTATCTATCTATGTAACCCAGTCTGCTAATATCTATCTATCTATCTATCTATCTATCTATCTATCTATCTATCTGTGTAACTACAATGAAAACAGTATATCAATTTTTATTTGTTTATTTATATTTTCTTATATCAAAAGTATTTACTTTATTCATATTTTTATCCCACACTTAAATTATTCTGTATTTAAAGATCATGCAATGTTCTTATTTTTCCGAGATCCTGTTTCTTCACAGATTTATGATTTATTTATTTCTGTTGTTGTTCACGCAATACAAGGCCCAGCAGTCACTCGAGGTAGAGGGTTACTGATTGAGTTTGGTTTATATAGATAGCGGTTTACACTAAAAATGAAAAATTCAAGATTTTAGTGATTGGACAGTATCTTTGTTGGTGTCTGTTCCCCAAAACTGCGGTACTTGTTAAGAACCTGGCTGAATAGAACGTCCTTTTTGCAGATAGAGTAGGAAAACGTCTATTAAGCTAACTACGAATTATCTATCTATCTATCTATCTATCTATCTATCTATCTATCTATCTATCTATCTATCCCTCTTTCACTATCTATCTAGCAACACTTTTTTCTTTGTTTCAAAATAAATCTTCCTGATGCTTACTAATCTAGATAGATAGATATTAACAGACTGGGCTAGATAAATAGATAGATTTTTAATATCTGAGAAGTTTTTTAACAGATGACGGAGAACGTGACACCAAAATTCAAAAACGTATGAGAATGACTCGGGGTGCATTCTAAATGCTAAGGAAATTAGTAAGCCACAGGACGATTTATTTTGAAACAAAGAAAAAAAGTATTGCACTTTTATGTATTTTAACTCATTTTCCACACTATTTATATTATTCAGACTATTGCCCTCATTTTTTGTTGCCACATTTATTACAACCTTTCGGCCGTTGTACGCTCCGACCTTCTTCAGGTGGTTGGAAAGTCGAACTGAACCCTTTATTTCGCTCGCAGGGGTAGGCTGTTCTAGTTCCACGTGCCATATCTAATGGATGTCAGTTATCAGTTATCTCCTGTTAATTCACCTCTCCAAGCTTTCCCCTGTCTTAACCAGGTATTGACCTCACGACTCTTTGGGTCCTGTCACTTTATTGACCTCACAACTACTTTAGGTCCTGTCACGTTATCCCCTGTACCGATAAAGGCGTAGGTTAGATCCAGCGAGCGAAATAAGGGGTTCCGTTCGACATTCCAACCAGTTGAAGAATGCCGGAGAGTACATCGGCCGAAACGTTGTGATAAATATGGCAACAAAGATGAGGACAATAGTCCGAATCCTGTAAATAGTGTACATAATACCTCATCTCAGAAATATAGAAAAGTCCTTTTGTGTTGGAGCGAATCTCTTATAATCTCAGAGATGAGGTAAAAACAGGGTCCAACAGACATGTATTTCTACAAAAGAATGCTGACAATTCCATGGATGGAGCGGGTAAATAACGAGAAAGACTGAAAAAAATGACAAAAAACAAGAATAAGGAAAAAATAATGACTGTTAAAATATACTGAACACAAAATAAGAAAAGAGGGCATGGAGAATTTGACACTCACAACAGGTAGTATCGGAAGTAAAAAGAACAGGTGAAGGTAGTAAGCCAAATAGCTGAAAAGCTTGCATGGTGGAATGTGCGAAGAGTTTTAGCAAAGGGAATTAGTCTATCCATCGAGTGACGGACAAAGATTATTTTGTTCGGATTAAAATAAATATCACTTCGGTAGTTTTACTTTTTTTTGTTAATCATTTCATTCCAATCAAGTGAACAGATCTACTAAGATGCAAGAGGTCAATGAATATTATAGAATATGAAAAAAAGAAGCACTATTAAGGAGAAAGAACAATATAAGACCACGAATTAAGAAGCCAAATGATAATGATTGACATAACATTTTAATCCTTGAAGATCAAAATTGACTGAGAAGCAAGAAGTCCGAAGACAATTCCACAAATTCGAATGCAATACAAAAGATACTATTAGTATTTTATTAAACATCACTGCCAGAATACCACGCTCACGCGACACACTGGCGAACTGCTGACCATTCTGTCCGGGACTTTCGCATTCTGTAACACAAAGTTTAATTTAAATATAAATGCCGCCGCGCTACCACCAAATGTAGCAATATCGCCCTACTCTGTGCCACGCAAAACTATGCAATTTCAATGGTGTGACACCTATATATATATATATATATATATATATATATATATATATATATATATATATAAAACAGACTACTTTAAGGTTCCATGTAATAAATTATTTCCCCACAACCCTTTTAAAGGACTGCGGATCATTCCAAACAAAAAATGAAAAGAAAATTTACACATTTTTGACGGGCCGTATTAAACATATGTAAATAAACGAAGTGAGGAAGTGAGGGGGGAGAGAGAGAAGACATGAGTGAGTTAGCAGATATTGACACATTTAAACGGTTAACTTAAGGGAAGTTATATATTGATATCGAAGGGGTAGAGGAGCAAAAAACCTATAGAGAGAAAAAGAGAAAAGGAAGTCATGAGAGAAGGTGGCACTAATTTTCTTTGTAAAAAAAAAATGGTTAGAAACAGACGCTGTTATTTTGTTTTACTTTGAAAGTGTTATTTTGGGGGTTCATAAAGATTATAATGGTTGATATAAATTTGAATGTCTCTAAACTGTCTACAAATAATTTAATTTGATGTTTGTTAGTGATTTAAATTTTTGTAAAAAAATGGGGATTTGCGCTCTCTGGATTTTATCCTACTTAGGTTTACCCATACGGATTACCTAGTTTTTCATGAACTATATATATATATATATATATATATAGTGAGAGAGAGAGAGAGAGAGAGAGAGAGAGAGAGAGATGCACATTAGTAAACTACTAAGCCATAGTCAAAATAAAGCTAACATTAAAAAAATTATTTCACTAGCAAGGGTCATGTGTAAGTTGGTTATCTCTCTTCATATAGCAGGTGCATTAGGCCGACCACTTTAGTGCGTGCATCAGATTAGACTCTTAGATCAATTCACTCTTGAAATGAGCTTGGTCATCAATTATGTGCCACTCTATTGGCATTCAGCTAGACAAAGCTACGCTTTATAAAAAATAGATAGATAGATAGATAGATAGATAGATAGATAGATAGATTTGGAATCAAATATAGATCAAAAACCGACAGAATGATAGGAAAAAGAACGAATAGGAAACATTTATAAATCTAACATATTTCACTTTTAATAAAGCTTCATCAGAGTTTTAGATATGGAAAAATAACTGGTATGTTTATTTATATGTGTGCGCTGTTTACTTTGCACTGGTTAAGCAGATTTAATATGCATTTAATTTATCAAGTTGTCTTCGTATGTATAATATATATGGATATCATAATTCTAGTATGTATATGTGCATAGGTATGTATATTTATATGTGTGTTGGGGGATTGGTGTTTGTATATAGGCATCATATTATGAATGAGTAAATACTGAAAATATGGTGATTATATAATGGTTTTCACATATTTTACTTACGGCCAACAGCTACAGTTATATCTGATCTTTACCGTCATTTTGAAAAAAGGTTTCCAGATTAATTTCAAACGTTGTTTTATTTATTGAGATATCTATCCTTTATGTTTGAATAAATTTTTAACTAATAATAAAATCGATCGATTTCTAATAAACTTTTTTTCCTTTTTACATCATTTTTAAGTGTTCATTATCTGTCTATATTTCTGAGATGAGGTATTATGTACACTATTTACATAATTCGGATTATTGTCCTCATCTTTGTCGCCATATTTATCACAACGTTTCGGCCGCTGTAAGCTCCGGCCGTTCTTCAGATGGTTGGAATATCTAACTGAACCCTTTATTTCGCTCACTGGTGTAGACTGTTCTAGTTCCACGTGCCATGTTTAATGGATGTCAGTTATCAGTTATCTCCTGTTAATTCCTCCTTTCCAAGTTCTCCACTGCCTTAACCGGGTATTGAACTCACAATTCTTTGCGTCCTAGATCTAACCAACGACTTTATCCACTGT